AACATCGACCGATCTAGAAAGAAGGGGAGTAAGAAACAGAGGAAAGCGTTCCGGTGGAACGTAGAGCGTTTGGGAGACGATGGGACACGGGATGAATTCCAGAAGGTACTGGCTGGTAGTGTACAACCTTTCAGCAAACTGCTGAGAAGCGTTGAAGACGGACAGGTGGACATACAAGCAGCAGGGGACAGGGTCATTGAAGGGTGGGAGTCCATAGTGAACACAACGGCAGAGAGAGTCGTGGGAAAGAAGGTGGTACGATGTGGGGTATCGGTTAAGTGGTGGGATGACGAGCTGAAAGAAGAAATAGGGGAACGTAGAGAAGTCTTCAAGCAGTACCTGAGTGAGGCGTCTGAGGATACTTGAGAAAAGTACAGGGCCAAAGTAAAACAGGTGAAAGGACTAGTGAAAAAGAAGAAAAAGTGCATTTGGGACGAAGTAGTGCAGAAGGCCAACGGAGGCCTGGAGGGGAACGTCAAGCAGATGTGGGAAGGGATAAGAGGAATTGTAAAAAAGACCGCGCAAGGGGGGGATACAGGGGTAGCAACTTTGCGAGGTGTGCACGGTGGACTACCGTAAAAATCGGGGTCTTCGCACACTGTGCGGTCGCCTTTTTTAATGTCTTCGTTCTTCGCACAGGGGTGCGGAGACGCCGATATGTGCGGAGACCCCGATACATGTGCGGAAATCGAATTAAATTATTTGGTTGTACAGTATTATCGCACACCCCGTGCGATGACGCCGATACGTGCGGTATTGAATAGAATTGAAGGGGGTTAAGGTGGGGTGCTTTGAACGCACACCCTGTGCGAAGACTCCGATATGTGCGCTCCAAATGAAATCACAGCGGACATTGCAGTACTCCACGTGAAAGGTAGTCCTGCATGATCCGTCAAAACACAGGAAAAAAGCACGCACACACACACGTCGCACACTGTGTTACCAAGCGGCCTCGTCACGACCCTCACGGGCGGGCAGGCTAAGAATACATAGGTGGCTCCATCCATCTCACAGCCTACATCTGGCNCGGAAGCGCCCAATCTCATTGCTAGGATCGGGGTCTCCGCACAGTGTGCGTAGACCCCGATCCCTGTGCGAGAATCGAATCAAATCATGTGGAACCCGGTTTTTGTTACGCACCTCTGTGCCATGACCCCGACCCGTGCGGAGACTCCGATCCGTGCGAAGACCCCGATTCTTACGGTAGTCAGCAGTGGGGGGGGGGGGGGGTAC